GGGAAAAGAAGGGTTGGGGGAATTTTCCCCCTATAAAAGAAGGCTTAATGTTTAGGATTTAAAGACACTTCTCATTTGCCTTCTCATCTGTTTAAGGTATTTGTATTTCTCTCTTTAATATTATTTCACTTGTATTTTTGGAGTGAAATAAAATATTGGTTGTGTCCGAGGAGTAGGCAAAATTAGCCGAACCTCGTAAATTCTGGTGTTCCCTTTATTGTTGCTTTATTGTCTTATTTATTATTTGGTGGCTGTCATAATTTTTGGTATAGTAGTTGTGACTTATTCACACTATATACATTTGGCTTCCGCAACACTAGATACGTTACAAAAATTAATTGTCGAAAGGTATAAGAATTAACCACAGATTAATCATGTATTAGAAGTTCTTTATTCTTTGCATATCAAATTATTGTTCAACTGCTGTTGTAGTAAAGTAGAGATGCACGTACGGTTTCTACACGATAGCATGGTTTCTACTAGTGTTGTCCAAGCTACATAAACTCCATAAGAGAACCATGACACTGGACTGCACCTCAAATATTGATTCACATCCTTAAAATGATTAGATGATGCAGGTGCAAGGAATTAGTTTCTAGACTGTAGTTTTCAAATTTTCTCAGTTAAGAAACAATGTCTTTTCTTTTCCTTTTCTTGAGGAATGCCATATACAGATGCATAGACTGCAGCTTAAAGAACATATACTACAAATATCTTTCTTTATGACAAATGTTTATGCCAATACACTTACCTTGATGTTTAAGGTTAAGGAGTTAAGGCGTGAGGAACAGACACGAGAAACGCCTCAGTTTCAAGTTTTCCATTTCATGGCAGTGTCCTCTCACTATAAAAGCAGTAAGGCAGCTGATGGAGCCTGACAGTGAAATAAGAACGAAAATGGAAGACGTGAAGGAGAAGAGCAGGTTTTCTATAATGGAAATTGGCTCTTCCGATGCCTCTCTTGGACGTTTTATCGAGCAGGTGATGGACAAAACTCATTAATAATTAGCATCAATAATAGAGTCTCTTTCAAATTGCTACCGTTATCGGATATAGGATTGTTTACTTATTATAATTGTCTTCTACATTTTGATTAGGTATCGGATGGTGTCAACAATAAATGCTAACAGTATCTTTTTTATGCTATATAGCTGATCAAAATTTGTTTTCCGATTATATGAGATTAATGCAAATAAATAAAACAAAAGGAGCAATTTTGTTGTGAAAATACACTGCTCTTAGGATCGAAACGATCAACTTGTTAGAAAAGGAACTAGTATTGCTGCCGTTGGCCACACTGGGCGGCAATTTAACAGAGATGTGGTGATTGACCATTATTCAGTTATTGCCCATAACCTGCTCGATAAAACGTCCAACAGAGGTGTAGGAAGAACCACCTTCCTTCAGCGCCAATCTGCTCTTCTCCTTCATGTCTTTTACCTTCATCCTTATTTCATTTTCAGGCTCCATCAGCTGCCTTATTGCACTCTTTATCTTCTCCGCTTTAATGATATCCGTTTTGTTCCCGCTAATGTTATAATCCATCTTAATATCCATTGCCATACCCAAATCCTTCACCAATTGAAACGCATTCGCTTGTTGCTCCGAATACATTGGCCAAGTTGCTATTGGCACTCCAAACCAAATACTCTCCAAAATCGAATTCCATCCACAATGCGACACAAATCCACCCACCGCTCCATGTGACAAAATTACCCCTTGGGGTGCCCATCCTATCACCATTCCAATCCCTTTCGTCCTTTGCAAGAATCCTTCAGGCAAGACATCTTCTAGGTTTTTGTAGTCACTTGGATACCATGAATCTTTTGGTGGTGGTTTCCTTAGCGACCACAAGAACCGACACCCTCTCTCCTCTAAAGCATTTGCAATTTCCTTAACTTGCTCCTCGTTAAAACTTCCTGATGTTCCAAAACAGAGGAACACTACAGAGGATGGAGTTTGCTCATCTAACCATTTGATAATTTCATGGTCAGATAAATCTTCGTTATCACCGACACCACTATTGAGGTTCAGCAATGGTCCTACTGGATAGACAGGTGGAATTTTCCCGTCCAAAGAAAGTGATTTCAAAGCATGAGCTTCAAACTCTAGGAAGGTGTTTACCAAGATACCTTTTGTTTCTTGGTATCTTTTGGCAATATCAAGGAACATAGTGGAACCACCATCCTTGTCCAGGAATATAGACGGCAAACATTTAGTCGCAAAAGGATTGAAATACGTAGGAACAGAGAGTTCTGATTCAGGATCATTGTTGTAATTTGTAATGTCTATGTTAAAATCATCTTGTAGACTCTGCATATGAAGGTGAAGCCCAAGCATGGCTGCACTAGTCGTGTAGAAAACATAAGTTGGGAGCCCGCATTCATTTGCTACGTCTATCATTGTGGTACACATCATGTCTATCACAAGACCAGATAGTGTGGCTGTTTCAGATTGTAGAATTTGAGCTGCAACTTGTCTGACCTGAGGCTTATGGCTATCAATAACGCCAGAAAAGAATGTGCTGTTGTTGAGGAGTTGCAAAGCGGATTCGTCTCGTGGGAGTTGTATGAATTTCAATCTTGATGAGCTGAAATTAGTATTTGAGGAAAGTGATTGGATGTAAGGATTGAGGTTGGGGTCGAGGTTCATATTCATGATAAGGACATTGATGGAGAGATGTTCCTCTCTAGCTATAAGAAGCTTTGACATCTCCACCGCGGGTACTAGGTGACCCATTCCAGGAGATGGAATGAAGACCAACTCGGTGATTTTAGTTGCATTCATTGTTTGTTTCAAATATCTCAGCCTCAAAGCTACAGATTTCAACTGTGATATTTTAAACTTGGAAGAGGAAGATGGGATTATACCAGCTAGCAACAAGACATATATATATAGGCTGAATACATACGGAGACACTTAAAGTTGGCACGATCTTTCATTTAGACACCTGAACTTAAGAGAGTTCCTATTGAGCACATACGTTACATGAACTTTGTTCCAATTAAACACTTGCTGAGTTGGCACATAGAGTGAGTTTCACCCAATATGGGCGCGTGAAAAGCCCAAACAGATTTTTTTTTTGTTTTTTTAATTTCCTTCTTCTTCTTTATGTCCACCACCATTTCCACCATTGTCTCCTCCACCTTCTGTCATCTTCTCCGACTCATTTTCCTCTTCTTCTTTCGAATCCCATACCAGATTCAAATTCAGCCGAAAACAAAAAGGTGAGTATTTGTGATTGGAAGAAAACAAAAAGGATAAAGTGAAGAAGAAGAAGCAAAATGAATGGAAATAGCTTGAACTTTTCCGGTGAAAGCCAAGAATGTCATTGTGCTTCAGCAGACCCAAAATGAACCAATCTTTCACCAAATGATTTAAAACTTGAAATGAAAACTCTAAACAATATCAATACCAAGCCCCAGTGATCAATTCAAACAAACAACCCCAAAATCAAAAGACCTAAGTTCGTCTTTTTCGTCGAACAATCAGTTCAAGTTTCGAACCCAAAACCCTAGAAAAGCAATTCAAATCAAAGCTCAAATCTTCAGACCTCACCTCGTATCACCGTTTACAACCAAAAACTCGAACACCCAGCCAACTTCGAACCCTAATTTTCAGATTTTCAAAAAACCCAATTACGAACTTTTCCGGTGAAATCTAAGAATTTTGCATTTGTTCTGTTCGATTTGGAACCCTGAAACTGTTGCGGAAGCCAAATGTATATAGTGTGAATAAGTCACAACTACTATACCAAAAATTATGACAGCCACCAAATAATAAATAAGACAATAAAGCAACAATAAAGGGAACACCAGAATTTACGAGGTTCGGCTAATTTTGCCTACTCCTCGGACACAACCAATATTTTATTTCACTCCAAAAATACAAGTGAAATAATACTAAAGAGAGAAAATACAAATACCTTAAGAAGATAAGAAGGCAAATGAGAGGTGTGTTTAAATCCTAAACATTAGGCCTCCTTTTATAGGAAAAATATCTCTACCAAATAGCTAACCCACCGATGTGGGATTTGCCAAATTCAACAAATCTCCACCTTGGCAAAATTCCAAATCTTCAATTTTTCTCTCAATAACAAATTTTGGTTATGTCTTCATCTTCAATCTTTAGTGTTTAACAATGTTGACCAAATCCAAATAATGTTGAAACTGGATCGCAGTTACCACCTTTGTCAGCATATCAACAGGATTCTTTGTAGTAGGAATTTTCTTCACCGTGACTCCACCTTCTTCTATGATTTCTCGTACGAAATGATACCGAACATCAATGTGCTTCGTCCTTGCATGATAAACTTGGTTCTTCGCTAATTGAATAGCACTTTGACTATCACAAAAAATTGTGATACCTTTTTGTTCAACACCAAGCTCCTTTAGCAATCCTTGAAGCCAAATTGCCTCTTTCACAGCCTCTGTAATAGCCATGTACTCTGCCTCTGTTGTAGACAAAGCAACTGTTGACTGCAAAGTAGACTTCCAACTAACTGGTGCCTTTGCAAAAGTAAACACATAACCAGTAGTTGATCTTCGTTTGTCCAGATCACCCGCAAAATCTGAGTCGCAATATCCAATTACAGACTGATTGCATTCCTGCTCAAAAACTAACCCAACATCTATAGTATTATGAATATACCGTAGAATCCACTTCACAACTTGCCAATGCTCCTTTTCTGGATTGTGCATATATCTGCTAATAACTCCAACAACTTGTGAAATGTCAGGTCTTGTGCAAACCATTGCATACATCAAGCTACCAACAACATTTGCGTATGGTACCTTTGACATATACTCTCGTTCAGCTTCATCCATTGGCGACATAGTAGTACTTAGCTTAAAATGGGGAGCAAGTGGAGTACTAACTAGCTTAGTCTTTTCATCTATGCCAAAACGTTGTAGTACTCTTTTCAAACATTCTTTCTGAGATAAACAGAGTTTCTTTGAACGTCTATCTCTAATTATCTCCATGCCAAGAATTTTCTTTGCCTCACCCAAATCCTTCATCTCGAACTCCTTCTTCAGTTGAAT